GTATCCAAGTAATATTAGGAATTGAACATAATATATAGTTCTCATAAACGGAAGGTGTCCAAGATATTGGAACCACATATCATCCTATGAGCATAATGATTCTCTTTATTGAGGGAGTATTAAGTTACTCCTTTGTTCTTTTTATTGATGCACTCCATTTTTGTACTCAGTGATTTTTCGGCTCATTAGCTTGTAATCAATGTACACCATTGCTGTAACTCCGAAAGATTATATACATTTGAAAAGCACACAATTCTTTATTATATGTCGATTCTTCATATGGGATAGATAATGAAGCATTATTGTGTAACTATCTGAGGGCTGATGCAACAGTTTGTGCCCAGAATCTGAGGTTGTCTTTCATGGCCGACTCATCATCATCTCTGGGACCAGGCGGAATCCTCCATTTCAGAAGCTTCTTTATCATCTTCCTCTGATCCATACTTCTCCATGCCTCAGAAAGATAAGGCCTTTCAATTATTGCCTCATTACCATTACTCTCTTCTTCTCCTTCTTCTTCATCATCGTCTTCTTCACCTCTTCCCCTGCTCCCCCATCTCTGCAGCCCAGGAACAATGGAAGCCAACCCAGATTTCTTGTCTTCATCAGTGAACACAAAACCCAGATCCATAAACCCTTTTAACTCCTCCAGTTCAAGCTCTGATAAGCTTTTAGCACTCCCCAGCTTCTCCCCCGCCTCTGCCCCTGCCGCCCTCACCTTCTTCTTCTTCCTCCCTTCGCCCTGAACCCTTTTCCTGTAACGCGACTCCGGGCTTAAGTTTGTCCTGAATTCCAGCAGATTATCGCTCTGCGATCGAATCTTTAAAGAACCCATCTTCTCCTCTGACCTGATCAAATCATGTATAAGTGGCTTGTTGGTTTCATTGACAATAAGAATCTCTTGCTCAAACCAGCAAGAATCAAAGAGTTTCAAAATCTCCTCAGCTCCCTCCATTAAATCTTCAAGGAATTGGCACAATTATTTACTCTGTATGGGTTTATGGAGTGTATATATTTCAACGGTGAGCATGTATAAAAAAAAGAATCTTAAGATATATACTTGGAATCTAATAAGTGGTTGGAAAATAAAACAAAAGTTGAATAGCCCCACCACGTATGAGGATTGAGAACACGATGGTATATATTAATTAATATATATTCTTTCTTCCAATAATAGTGGTGGCATCATTTTAGTTGGCAATTCAGTTAAGTCATTACTTGGAATGATCTAATAATTGATTAGCACCCACATGATCCATTGGATGATTCATTGCTTACTCGGATAGAGTAACCACTTGAACAACTACCATTCCTGATATGTATAGTCCCATTTTTATGATTTGAAATGCCATTTTTGAAAATTGAGGTTCATATAGAGTCACTACTCTCAAAATAACTTTATATTATGACTTTTTAAATACATAAGATTTTGAATGAATGTAAACAAACATTATGTGATTGTGTGTCCATTCATTTGATTCTCAATGTATCTAAAATATCATATTAGACAGTTATTTAAACATGTAGGAAGTATGTCCCAAAGGTGATTAGGGTGGTATTTTTAATCTTTCTTGGGCTTAGAAACACAAGTTTGAGCTTTTGGTTGAGTTGGTTCCTTGACTTGGTATAAAAGCAAAAAATTGCTGTTGGGTACTTCTTATTTTGGGATAAAGACTGGCAGGTCCCATTGTTTTTCAAAATATACTACGAGGTACCTTAAGATATTCGAAAACTGACTCTGGGGTGACAATCCGTCATTCCCTCCGTTAATATTTCTTCTCCGTTATCCTCCTCCTCCTCCTCCTCCCAAAAAATTGCTGTCAGGTACCCCTTATTTTGGGATAAAGACTGGCAGGTCCCATTTTTTTTAAAACTTACTCATAGAGATTTAAAATATGATGTTTGTGACTGAGGAGGAAACTTCCATCCATTGCACCGTTAATAATTACTACCTCCGTCCCATAAAGTGTTACCCATTTTGACTAAAGTAGAAATTAAGGGAGAGATAATTTTGTGTTGACTTTCCAAAAATACCCTTGATGTGATGGGTAAAAGTAGGATGTGATGTGTAGATTATTAGGAAAAAGGTATGATGTGATAGGTAGGGTTTGAAAAGTAAGGGGTAAAAGTGGTTTTTTAATAGAAATGGGTAGGAGATTGTGGGACACAATTTTTTTGAAAGGTGTAAATCTTTTTGGGACGGAGGGAGTATTACTTATAATTATTTGTTAATAATTATTATAAGTATTACTTCATAATTATTATTTTCTTATTCTATTATTATTATTAATTTTTTGATTTATTATTATTACTATTATTATTAAAAATTAATTGTTAGTTTTACCACTCTTTTCTATAAAAACACTAATTGTTATTTAGAAAAATAGCACTTATTATAAAATAACACTTATTATTAATACTATTTTTATTTTTAGCAATTAATTAGTAATTTTACTTCAGTACTTTTTTTGAAAAATACCACTAGTTATTATTATTACTTGATATTAATTACTCCTCTGTTCTAGAGTATTTGTCTACTTTTTTTTTGTCAAAATTGACAAAATTAACCCTATATTAAAAAAGTAATATTAAATATTGATACAAAAATAGTTTTATTAGATTTAATATATAAAATTTTTTCAAAATATTACTTTATCGAATTAATATACAATATATGTTTTATTAAATAATAGGTAAAAAATTAAAAATAGTTGATAGAAAAAAGTCAAAACAGTTTAAAATTATGTATCGGAGCATATGTCACGTTTTGACTTTTTTCAATGAACTGTTTTTAATTTTTGACCTATTATTAAATAAAACATATATTGTATATTAATTCGATAAAGTATTATTTTGAAAAAAAATTATATATTAAATCTAATAAAACTATTTTTGTATCAATATTTAATATTATTTTTTTAATATAGGGTTAAATTTTATCAATTTTGACCAAAAAAAGTAGACAAATACTCTAGAACAGAGGGGTAATTAATATCAAGTAATAATAATAACTAGTGGTATTTTTAAAAAAGTGCAGAAGTAAAATTACTAATTAATTGCTTAAAATAAAAATAGTATTAATAATAAGTGTTATTTTATAATAAGTGCTATTTTTCTAAATAACAATTAGTGTTTTTATAGAAAAGAGTGGTAAAACTAACAATTAATTTTTAATAATAATAGTAATAATAATAAATCAAAAAATTAATAATAATAATAGAATAAGAAAATAATAATTATGAAGTAATACTCATAATAATTATTAACAAATAATTATAAGTAATAATTATTAACGGTGCAATGGATGGAAGTTTCCTCCTCAGTCACAAACATCATATTTTAAATCCCTATGAGTAAGTTTTTTAAAAAAATGGGACCTGCCAGTCTTTATCCCAAAATAAGGGGTACTTGGCAGCAATTTTTTGGGAGGAGGAGGAGGAGGATAATGGAGAAGAAATATTAACAGAGGGAATGACGGATTGTCACCTCGGAGTCAGTTTTCAAATATCTTAAGGTACCTTGGAGTATATTTTGAAAAACAATGGGACCTGCCAATCTTTATCCCAAAATAAGAGGTACTCAGCAGCAATTTTTTGGTATAAAAGTCTTGATGACCAAGAGGGAGCGAGTTCAAACATCACTTTCACCCATTTTTAAAAAATTACTCCCTCCGTCCCTGAAAACCTTTCTCCTTTCTTTTTTCATCCGTCCCAAAAAAACTTCTTATTTCTATTAAAAAATCACTTTTACCCCTTATTTTTTCATGCCCTGCCTATCACATCATACCTTTTTACTAATAATCTACCCATCAAATCCCACTTTTACTCATCACATCAAAGGACATTTTTGGAAATTCAATACCAAAATATACTCCCCTTAAATCTCTTCAAAATCAAAACATCCCATGTTTAAAGGGACGGAAGGAGTAGTTTTTTTTAAGCGAGACTCAAGCTAAAATATATCTCACCTACACGTGATGGGGCGTGTTAAGGTATAAAACATATTCAGGGCATAGAACTACAAGCCTGGGTTTTTGTTTGAGTTAGTTCATTGAAAATTTTGAGTGTTTCTTATGATTGTATGATGAGAGAGCTCACTAGATAAAAGTAAAAAACTTTGAAAACACTAAAATAAAAGTATTAAGTATTTTAAGACAAAAATAAGAGATCACACTCACATTGTTACACTGACACACTCACCATATTGTCACACTATCATTGTTACACTGACATACTCGATCACCACATTGTCACACTGCAACGGCCACACTATCATCCATCGTCGCTGGCCACTAGAGTGCCGTCGTCGATTGCCGGCGGTTGACAGATCACACTACCATATTACATTGTCATCACTTTTTGTATCATACTGTCAGCATATACTCTCACATCACACTGTAATTATACTTCTATTTTAGTTTTAAAAAACTTAAGACTTTGATTATGATATTTTCATACTTTCTCCGTCCACAAATAAACTTCCCGTTCACTATTCACAGGGTCAAACTTTATTAACTTTCTTGGCCTATTTTTGTCACCCATTTGGTAAAATAATATATTCATGCCACCACTAGTTTTGTAGAACTTTTGATATAGTTTTTTAATATGCAATTTTTATTTTTAAATTTTACACCATTTTTCATATAAAATGATTTGAAAATAACTTCAGTCAAATATCGTAACGTCCAACGGGAAGTTTATTTGTGGACGGAGGGAGTATTTTTTTTACTCTTGGCTTAAGAGTTAAGAGCTGTTTGTTCGCACTTGGCATGTAACATGCTGATTTCTTTGGTGTTTCCTTATAGCACTGGAAATGGGCTTGAAGCCTAGGCTTTAAACCTTTTTTCTCTGTTACATCAGCTTTAACTCCCCTTAAACTAATTACATCACAATTTCACTAGAAATGTCGGGCTTCATATACTGAGGCTTCAAACATTTCTTTTTTCTTTTTTAATATACAATTTATAATAAGATTAATAAGATTTCATTAATTAATCAAATTTAAACACCAATAATTCATTAAAAAATACATTCAATAAAAAAGTACATTAAAATTAAAAAACAAAAAACTACATTAACAAAAAAAAATACTAAAGCATATCATATTTAGCCTTGATCTCGTTTTGTTTTTTCTCGTACATTCGTTTGAATCCTGTTAACGTACCTAAGTCTTTTTCCATTATTTCGAGGTCCTCGTTCTCTATCCTGCGTTTCTCCCTCTCTTCTTCCCTAAGATTGAACAACCGCATTTGTTCAACCATTTGCTGGCTTATAACAGATCCGGACCTAGTAGCCGAACCAATTGATTTAGCCTTTTCTCCTGATCAGTCTTGGAATGGGGTCCACATCGTCAGATTTAAGCATCTTTTAAGAGCAAAGCCTCTTCTCTTCCTTTTTGACACAAAATATGCCAAATTTATTAGGGTAAAAAAGAAAAATAATACCAAGTTCCTTTTACAGCTCACAACAATTAAAAGAAGCAAGTTACACCGATACATAATAACACGATGATCGAGACACACTTCTCTGAATTGTTATGACAAAACTTCTAATCTAAGATTTCTAACCCGTACCCTGTACAGATCTACTTCGACTACCATATCTCCACCGAGATCACGAGAACAAACGTGTTGGCAGCCCACTTGTTCAGCTAGTTCAACTCCCTGATGTCACGATCTGTTTTTGATTGAAAATCTTCTTCTTCATATAGATTTAACTTTCTTAACGCAATGGAAGCTCCGGGACGCGATGGGAACACTCTACATCAGCGTATATTTTGTATTTTCCCCTCTCAATCGCTCCAAGGAATTACAAGGGATGCGTTTTTATAGCCTCTCCAAATCCAATCCTAGTAGGAATAAGTTAGTAAAAGTTGTCCTGAATACAACTTCTTTATTCTTTATCCACAAGTAACCTAAAGTCTTAGAATTTCTAAAAACGTACAGCTGGCCATTAATAGATAACTCTTAGGAAGTACTTTCAACTCCCAATAGGACTATAATTCCAAAAAATAGTAGATCGTAGCTTAAATTCATGTGCACAGACTTCTGATCCCATACAGTGCGCTATAGCATCTTTTGTGTCAATATCGAAAACTGTAGCAACTTTAAGAGTTTAAATAAAATAAACCTCTCCAAATAAATAAAGTTTTCTATCCGGTAAAACTCCTAATAAATATGGGCTTCAATTTCCCAAAAGATTAAGCCAAATTAGCAATACGCATTTACGGTGCCGGGAATTGCATCCTAGACAAATGAACTTTCTTTCTGGATATGAGCTTATGGCACGGTTTAGGTGGTTTCTCAATTGATGGATTTATTGTTGAGATTTTTGGCATACACGTCATCTTGTTTTTTTAGCAGTATGATTACGCGCAATTGCAGATTGGATTAGCTAGGGACTTCTCTTCTGGTTCCTCAATGGTTGATTTGGATAACTTTTTTTTTTCATCGAGTATTGGCTGGCATATATTGTTATGGATAATAGAGTGTGATATTTATTATTATTATTATTATTATTATTATTATTATTATTATTATTATTATTATTATTATTATTATTATTATTATTATTATTATTATTATTATTATTATTATTATTATTATTATTATTATTAATGTAATTTAGGTTTTATTAGGTGAGCGGAATTATAAGCTCCTTCGAGGTTTCTTTACGGTTCTTTCCCTCGTCGCTTTTATTGAACCGTCAAGTTAGCGTTAGGGTTTCCTTCTTCCCTATATAAGGAGATGTAACCCCCTTTAGGGTAAGACAATCAATAAACAAATCAAAACCCTAATCCCTTCTCCTCTCTCGGTTCGCCGATTCCCTCCTTCACCTCACTTCTTCTTCTTCTTCCTCGTCTCATATTCTCAAGAGCTCGAAGACGCTGCGAGTCTTCCCTATCCGATACGGAGTCCGTATCATTGGTGCTCTCGTTGATTTGAACACCCAAAAAAACCAAAAAAAAACAAACAAATCCACTGTTGCCGTTCTGCTCTTTGAAATCGAAGCTCCAGAAGAACGCAACAAAACCCTAGGCGCAGGATCGCAGAATTCAAGAGTGAAATCCGTACCAATTCACCACCAGCATCAACTTCCACCTTCAGTTTTTCGAACCGCCACTGCTCATTTTGCCGTTTGGTGTTGTCAATTAAGGAAAAAAAATAAAAGGTCTAGACTTTTGCCATTTTGCCGTTTGGTGATTAAAGTCAAATTGAAGAGTTATAGTTTGGATTGTTGCAGCCTTCACCAAACCGTGGGGACTTTCCAGGTGCTCTCATAATTAATTATGTTCAAGAATTGTGCAAAGACCCCTTATATTGATACACTCATGGTTGATAATCTCTTCAATTTAATTGAGATTGTTTTAGATAAAAAAATTGATTTTGATGAAGGAGTGTGCTTAGTTTATGCTCAACTTGATGAAATTATCAAGACGCTCCGCTCGTTTGCTAATATTGAGGGTCAATCAACTTATGACTCTAACTTATCTATTTTTGAGGTGGACATCTCATGCTCAATACAAGATTTGGTTTCGTGATTCCTCAATTGTGTCGATTACTTTAGAGTTACAAAATTTCAGAACGCACATGTTGGACGCGCTAAGGAACCTCATCAATGCTCCGTCTGCACCACCAAGTTTGCCCCATACGGTAACTATTTGTATATCCTACTCTTTAATCTATTTACATTTTATCGGAGGAATTTAAGGAGGAACTTGATGTTGGTCCTATTCTTGATGTTGTTCCCGTGCTCGTTGCCGATGTTGTTCGTCCAGACGATGTTGATAGGGACGCCTCTCATTGCGACCAATATCTTCAGGTGCAAATTTTCAGATATGATGTAATTTTTTATGGATGTACCAACAAAATTGAGATGTCAAGTTTTGAAGTTGTTTTACAAGCGACAAGTCTCGTGAATGGCTCTCTCTTCAGGGGCAAACTTGGTGGTGCAGACGAAGCATTGATGAGGTTCCTTAGCGCGTCCAACACGTGCGTTCTGAAATTTTGTAACTCTAAAGTAATCGACACAATTGAGGAATCACGAAACCAAATCTTGTATTGAGCATGAGATGTCCACCTCAAACATAGATAAGTTAGAGTCATAAGTTGATTGACCCTCAATATTAGCAAACAAGCGGAGCGTCTTGATAATTTCATCAAGTTGAGCATAAACTAAGCACACTCCTTCATCAAAATCAATTTTTTTATCTAAAACAATCTCAATTAAATTGAAGAGATTATCAACCATGAGTGTATCAATATAAGGGGTCTTTGCACAATTCTTGAACATAATAAATTATGAGAGCACCTGGAAAGTCCCCACGGTTTGGTGAAGGCTGCAACAATCCAAACTATAACTCTTCAATTTGACTTTAATCACCAAACGGCAAAATGGCAAAAGTCTAAACCTTTTATTTTTTTCCTTAATTGACAACACCAAACGGCAAAATGAGCAGTGGCGGTTCAAAAAACTGAAGGTGGAAGTTGATGCTGGTGGTGAATTGGTACGGATTTCACTCTTGAATTCTGCGATCCTGCGCCTAGGGTTTTGTTGTGTTCTTCTGGAGCTTCGATTTCAAAGAGCAGAACGGCAACAGCGGATTTGTTTTTTTTTTTGGTTTTTTTTGGGTGTTCAAATCAACGAGAGCACCAATGATACTGAAAGAATAATTGGGAGGAAATTCTCTCTGGATTTCTCTGTGTTCAATTTACAAAGTAGACATGTATATATAGGCTCTCACAAATTGAGAAACCTAATCACAAAAGGAAACGAAATCAACCCTATACAAGGAAGCTACCAAAAATAATATATACACAAATATCTCCAAATATTCTACCAAATATTTTCTTTCCTTTAACACCCCCCCTCAAGTTGGAGCATGTAGTAACGAAATGCCCAACTTGGGAAGAAGAAACTCCAAACGTGACTTTCCGAGTGCCTTTGTATGAATGTCTGCAAGCTGATGCGTAGTAGGCACATGAAGTGTACGAATCTCTCCTCGCAAGAGCTCATCACGAACGAAGTGACAATCAATCTCAATGTGCTTCGTGCGTTCGTGGAAAACCGGATTAGCAGCAATGTGAAGTGCTGCCGTGCTGTCACACCGGACCGTCATGGGTTCTTATGCTCAACCTCTAAACACCGCAATACATTCTTCAACCACTTCAACTCACATGTAAGAACTGCCAAAGCTCTATACTCTGCTTCAGCAGACGAGCGAGCCACCGTCGACTGCTTCTTTGTTTTCCATGAGACAGGCGAGTCTCCAAGATGCACAAACCACCCTGTCAGTGACCGCCTCGTCAAAGGACATGCTGCCCAGTCCGAATCACACCATTCTGTGAGTTGAAGACTACTCTCTGCTGACAGAAAAATGCCCTGACCTGGACATCCTTTCAAATAACGAACAACTCTAAGCGCCGCAGACCACTGATCCTCCCTTGGTTCCTTCAAAAATTGTGCTAAAGTGTGGACGGCGTAAGAAAGTTCTGGTCGTGTAACGGAGAG